GTGAAACCCCGTCTCTACTAAAAATACTAAAAATGAGCTGTACGGGTGGTGCACACCTGTAGTTCCAGTTAGGAGAATCGCTTGAACCTGGGAGGCAGAGGTTGCAGTGAACCCAAGATAGTAACCATTGCACTCCACCCTGGGTGACAAATGAAACTCCCATCTCAAACAACGTTTTAACATGTATTAAATTCAAAATCTAGTATGTTTTATGGTAATTCCGAGTAAATAAATGCAAAACTTGATGGTGTTGTCACTTTTTAAACTCTCATTTCAGTATTAGGTATATTCAAATGCTTATCAGACGTTTTTAGACAACTAAACATCAGGATTTATTATACAGGTCCAAGATTTAAATAATCTAGGGGCTCTATTATGTGGCCCATGTATGGAGCAGTTTTGCTTTTGTTCAATAACAGATGAATTAAGAGCCTTGCCCAGGAATCTTGGTTCAGGATGGGTGGTCTGCTTCTTAAGTACCTAATACTAGTACATTACGTGCCAGGTAGTGATTCCTATTTCAGAGATGAGAAGAGAACCTTGAGAAAAAGTTAGCCCTGAATAAAATTAAGACTGCAGGCCGGGTGTGGTGGCTCACACCTGTACTTTTAGCACTTTGGGAGGCAGAGGCATGCAGATCACTTGAGGTCAAGAGTTCAAAATCAGCCTTGCCAACATGGTGAAACCTGGTCTCTACTAAACATACAAAAAAAAAAAAAAAAGAAAGCCAAGCGTGTTGCCATGCATCTGTAATCCCAGCTACTGAGGCAGGAGACTCATTTGAACCCGGGAGGCGGCGGAGATTGCAGTGAACTGAGATGTCCTCCAGCCTGGATGACAGAACGATAGTCCATCTCAAAAAAAAATTTTTTTTTAAATAATTTTCCTAATAGTGGATAACTTAAGTACCCCCCCACAAGCGTCTTTGAAATACTGATTTGGTTCAGTTAATGTTTTCTGTTAAGATTTTTTGAAATCCAAAAACCACATAGTTCCTTTTACAGATTGTTGAAATGTGATACAGAGTTCAGTAATTCCGACTGATCAGGATCAAAAGTATTTGGAATGAATTTTCTCCCATTTTGATATGTTGAACACATGAGGGTGTATCTATATAGACAAGCATATAAAGGTGTGATATGCAATTTTAAAATTGTGACTCTTGGAATCTCTGGCAACCTTTAAGCAGTTGTGATGAGCTTCAAGAGTGAGTTGGCACACTGTATCAGGACAGTTTTCCTTGTCTACTCTATTGACATATGTATTTTGTTTGTTTGTTTCATGGTGTTAATCTAGAGTGACCATTCCTGAATAACTGGCCATTTTCTGAAGTGCATTTTGGGAACATAACAGGCAAATATTTGCTGCAGTTATTCTTCCTACAGTATTGTTTATTATAACAAAGCCTTTCTTCAGGTTATTTTAACTTTTCAGGTTACTAGCCAAGGTTCCCTTTCCTAGCATTAAATTCATCCAGGATTCACTCCTAAGACATTCTGTTATCGGAATGCTCTCACCAAGATTAATGGCTATAAACTTCATCTGTCTAATAAAGATGTTTAGTATTTGTTCTCAGCCTGTTCTCAACGTGTGTATATATATATACTTTCCTAATTGAGTCTTGAAGTGTTTAAATGGCATCTCTGTATCTGCCCACAAGCTTCACTTGCCAATTGACCATTTTACTTGATGCTGATCTCATGCTTTGCTCAGGTCAACAATCTTAGCATCATCTTTTCTTCCCGCATGGAGTCAATCACCAAAATTCATGGTTGAATTTTACAGTTTTAAAATATATATATATGTATGTATGTATGTATATATTTATTGATCAACAATTTGCTGTACATAGTGGTGCATATCTGCAACCCCAGCTACTTAGGAGGCTGGGGCAGGAGGAGGATCCCTTGAGTCCAGGAGTTTTAGGCTATAGTGCCTTATGATTGTGACTGTGACTGTGCCTGTGAATAGCCACTGCAGCCCAGCAACATAGTGAGATCCCCATTTCTTTTTTAAAAGGGTAAGTGGTTGGTGGACCTGTTAAAGAGCTTTAATCAAAACTTAAAAAAAAAAAAACAAAACACTATTAGAGCAGTTAAAACTTTGTGTTGATCATCTTAACATTTTTAAAGACAGTATAATTATTCTTAATCCATATTGTGTATTCTAGTTCCCTAGCCCTGTTTCTTGATGCTGTTTTGCTAATAGCTCTAATAGGCTTATTTTGATTTTGTCAAAAATAGTGCTTTTGAGATAAATAAGGTTTAAATTAATAACCCCCATTGACTCTGGCCTATAATACTATAATTTTGCAAATGGCAAAATACCCTGTGGGAGCTAAGGTGTTTGATAAGCTTAGAGCAAATCTTGTTAAATGGGACAAAGTCTCAATTTTTTTTAACAAGACAAAAACCCTTTATGTAGTACCTTTTCTTTTTCAGTGTTTCTTGAAATTTTAATTTTATTCCATGCTAGTACAGAATACAAACTTAGCCAATAAAAATAGGAGCTCCATTGAAAGGGTTGTTCCACAAATTGAAATATTTAAAGCACAGTTATAGGTTGTGTACTGTTGGGGCATACATTGTTTAATTTGTTCATTTCCTCAGTTTCATAGGGAAAGATGTTAGCATTGTCTAATTTTCAAGCTAAGTGTTCAATGATTCTGATTTTTTAAAAGCTTTGAAAATTGTGTTGTTTTTGTATGGTTGGTTTTTGGCCCCTCAATTTGTTGAGTGCCTATTTTAAAGATTTCCAGTGGATTTAACAAAATGAACAAAATTTAGAGGACTCATTTATTTCCCCCCACCAAGTCAGTGCCACAGTGAGACTGTTACATAAATTTGTAAGTGTTTAAATTCCGTGTAGTGAATGAAAATATTCATCTGCAACTGGTATAAAATAGACATTAAAGTTTGTTGCCCAGGATAGAGTGCAGTGGCTATCCACCAGTATGATCATTTAGCACATGAAAACCTGAAACACCTGGGCTCAATCCTGCCTCAGCCTACTGAGTAGCCGGGACTACAGGCACACACCACCATACCTTGCTAAATTGAGATTTTTAACTTTCTTCCCATTCCCTGCGTCCTTCTGAGGGAGCTTATACTGAAATTCTGCATTTTCTGTCCTTTTCTTTTGCACAGGAAGGCAAAAAGATGACCGTTAAGGAAGGAAAGTGCATGTACCCACTTTAGAAATCTGTTTCCATTTCTTGATTCCCATAGTTATAGGGAATAAGTTGTTCTAGTAGACTAAATAAAAGAGAAGATCAATGTTTTGGAATTACACAAGGATATATTGATGTTGGGGTACATAGTTGCTATTGGCCAGATTGTTCTTTATTGTGTCTTGTTTTTGTTGTGGTGGTGGGGTGCGGGGGGGCGAATGGGGTCTCCCTATGTTATCCAAGCTGGACTTGAATTCCTGGGCTCAAGCTATCCCCTCACCTTTGCTTCTTTTTATTTGGGCATCCTTTCTTCTGCTTTCTAGTATTTGGTCTTTTGTATATGAGTACATTAAGCTTTTCTGTTTTTTTATGTTTTTGAGACAGTGTCTCACTTTGTCCCCCAGGCTGGAGTACAGTGGTATGATCTGCAGCCTCTGTCTCCCAAGTTCAAGCGATTTTCCTCCCTCAGTCTCCCAAGTAACTGGGATTACAGGCATGCACCACCACGCTCAGCTGATTTTTGTGGTGTTAGTAGAGATGTGGTTTTACCATGTTGGCCACGCTGGTCTCAAACTCCTAATCTCAGGTGATCTGTCTTCCTTGCCCTCCCAAAGTGCTGGGATTACCAGCATGAGTCACTGTACCCAGCCTAGCTTTTTTGGTCTTGTATTGTTTTTGTTTGTTTGTTTGAGGCAGGTTTTGTTTGTCTCAGAAAGCTCTTTGCCCAGCCTGGAGCTTTGCGTGATCAAAGCTCACTGCAACCTTGACCTCTTGGGCTCAAGTGATCCTTCCACCTCAGTCTTCTGAGTAGCTGAGACCCCAGGTATGCCACCACCATGCCTAGCTAACATTTTTGAAGAGTCATGGGTCCCCTGTGTTCAGACTGGTCTCAGTCAAACTGGGCTCAAGGAACCCTTCTGTCTTTGCCTCTCAAAGTGTTAGGATTATAAGCATGAGCCACTCTACCTAGTGGTCTTCTGCTGTTCAAATGGAATCCTAAACCTTACCCTTCATCATTATTTCCATGTTTATATGAGAAAGGGAGTAAAGAAGATACAGTAGTCCCTAGACTTAAAGGGTGGCCCTTACTGACTTACGCGCCTGTAGGCTGAACTTAAGAGAAACTTGTTAGTTTGAAAATGTTGAAGGCAGTGTTATTGTTACAAGTCGTGGAACAGTGAACTACATACTTGTTAGAAATAAATCGTCATATGGAAATGTGTGGACTATATATCTTAAGAGCAAACATCTTTCTACTTACACAAGTGTGCTCTTCAGGGTCAGAATTTCAAGAATAGTTAAAAATGGATGTTCAGTTAAAAAAAAAGTTGAGAGAATAAGGAGATTAGAAAACAGCTCCATGAGAGTTTTCTGTTTGTTTTCAGGTGGAAAATCGAGTTAGTGGATTGGGGAGGAAGGATAGTTCAGGAAGAGCAAAGGATTTAAGAGAATTGAGGGCCTCCAAAAGTGGTCTTGGAAGTTCAACAAATAACACGAATATTGAGCTTTCCCTGGTCTAAGCTCTTAAACTGTGAGAATGTCTAATTATAGCTATTTCAGTTTGTAAGAGATCAACTTTTTGTTTATGTAATAGATTTTTTTGTATCAATGTGTATGCATATATATTTTTTTATGAACTCTTGCTAAGATAATTGTCTTAGCATATGTCCAGGCATGTTTTCTCTCTCCTAATGGAATATATTATTTGTGTGAATTGTGATGGCGTGTTCCTTAAAAAAAAGTGTGAAAGTAACTGAAAGCAGTGGACTCGCTTCTGTTTTCTTTAAATGAAGCTTAATGTGACTCACTCATTTTCTGTCTTGGTGTATAGGAACTTAGTGATTTGGCCCGTGACCCTCCAGCACAATGTTCTGCAGGTCCAGTTGGGGATGATAGTAAGTAACTTTCAAGTTGATTTTTATGCTTAATTTTTTTAAAGCTTGTGCATTTTTAGATAATAACCAAGAGATTTTTTTTTTCTTTCCCTAGTGTTTCATTGGCAAGCCACAATTATGGGACCTGTAAGTATTAAGAATTTTTAAATTTAGTGTTAAGTGAAAATCCAGCATTGATTTGGTTGTAATTTTTAGCTTGGTCTGTAGGTTTATTTTATCATATAGTTAATTCTATTTTGGATATTCCATAGTTGTACTGCATTTGAGAGAAACAATATAAAGAGTTAGTCATCTGTTGTGTGTACTTTATGTCTATCTCTGTGTTCATGGTCTGAAGTATAGCATCTTTGACCTACCAGACATCTGTCTATCTCAGTTCAGTTTCTCTTCGTAGCACTGTGTAAAGCATTGTCATGGAACTTCCTGTTACTTATACAGACAATTAAAGTTACGGGCTCTGATACTGCCATAAGTTGTGTTCCTCAGAGATCTTATCTTTTTGCTGTAGCTGCCAATAATCTAGCTTAATTGTATTTTGATATTTGATTCTATATAGAACTTTAGTTTTATGCAAATTTTGAATATATTTAGGGAGAAAGTGATATTTTGAATATAGCAAAATTCCTTTCTATCCTGGGTAGATAAGAAACTATATGCTGGATAATTGAATATTCAGAATTATGGATACCATCTAAGAATTTCAGAGAATTAGAGCGCACTAAAACATCCTGGGGTAAGACTGTATCTTACACAAATACTTACCATTTTTTTTTTAACTTGGTAAGGTGCTTAAGGATTTCTTTTCTAAGTTAGATGCTTATTTTACTGAAAACTTTCTCCCTATTTGATGGTTTTATAAGAAACATAAAGAGCAATAATGTACTGGATGAGACAGTGGTTAGTATTTATAATCCTAAAGAAAAAAGTGCTCTTAAGAATTAGTAGATGGGTTGAATCAACAAGTATTTTTTCAGTAATTCTGATTCTAACTTTAGTCATTTTTCTGTCTCAAATGTGACTACATACCGTGTGCCAGGTAATAAGGATACGAGTGAATATAATAGACATCCCTGTCAATCTTAACAGTGAACTTACACTCTGCTAGAGTAGACAGATACTTAAGTGCTAAAGTGTGGTAAGATGCAAAATAAGTAACAGGTGAATGAAGTGATGAGTAGGAGTAATTAATGGGAAATCCTAACAGGGATGATTAATTTAGAGTGATTGAATTGTTAATATCCTAAAAGTAGGGAAACTCAAAGTAAGTCATGGCAGGGGGGCAAATATTAAGTTTTAATACTTTGAATATCCTGGATCATTTTAATAAACTACAAAGCCAGGATTATGCATTTCATTATCACAATGACTATTTTTACAGTTTTAAATTTTACTTTGTTTTAAAAGTGCTTCCTTTTATCTAATCTGGTAGCAATATTGTGTGATTTTAATACACATAGTTAAATGTCGAGTTACCCAGTTTGCTTCACACAATGTTTTTGAAAGCCAGCAATCTTCAAATAAAACCCTTTTGAGTAGGCCCACATTCCACAAGCAGTAGTGGCTTGGGATGGAATAACAGCTGCCTCCCTTTTTTAGATGGGGATATGTGTTTACCACAATGCCTGCTAGGTCACTTCCATATTATCTACCTAATGTTTTGGAAGTAGTTGCTTTTGCAAACTTTATAATTTTCCCATTTTGGATTACCAGTTTTCAAAGAATTTGATAAAATGTCTTACCAAATAAAGCTCATCTCTGATTCAGAGGGTACTTGATAGTTTCATTATAAAAATTGTCAAAACTAAGTACGGAAGGGTTGGTAATTAAGACTTCTAATTGGATAGTGTGCAGAATAAACCAGCTCCTTAAATCTATTTCTTCTTAATAGATTAGACTTTGTCATTTTGAACAACACACTAGTTTTCCAAAAAGGCAAGGAACATACCTATGTCAATCAAAGGGAACATGAATGAGGAGTATATGGTGGTAATTTTTTAGAGAATGGTGTTGCTTATTCTGACAGATTTTTTAGCAGTTTACTTAATTTGATTTTATTTTTAGAAAACATTTCCTTTTTTCATTCTTTAAATAAATATTTCAGATGATGGCTATTCCTTGCTAAGTTTTTCAGCAGCCTTTTAATATAATGACTGGCAGTTTTCTGCTTTTACAAACAGAAGCATGTGATTTTCAGAACTATTTAAATATTAACCTGATTAACCACAATGCAGGGTTTTGCTTTGGTAGCAGTACTCACTGAAATGTTTTCAGTTAAAAAGGTGAGTTCTCACTGTTGGTTGGGTAATTTCAAGGAGTCAAAGGTTATAAAAATGTACCCAAAGTACAGGTATTGTCTTGTACGTAAGTAAGCACATAATTTAGGTGTCACCTTTAAATAGTTAACTCTGTGCTTACTGTGGAGTGCACCAGTGAAACAACTCATTTGGTTCTTTTGGCTTCTGAATACGTCTTTGTGACAAAGCATCACTGTATAAGATAAATAGCTTATTTTCTGAGTATGGTGGCAAGCATACCTTATGTGGCAAGCAGTTGTGACCCAAAACAACCCATAAACTACAGATTTAGTGGGAGAATAGGATAGTTAACATCATTTTTGCTTCGGACTACTACTTAGCTTCCTTTATTAAAGTGATGCCAGTGCCACAGAACTGAAGATTCCCTGACTTTCTAAAAAATAGAGCAGCTAATTTTAAGTTTTAATAGAGTGACATTGATTTTAGTGAGTTGTTAGAAAATCCTCTAGATCATTAGTTATGCAGCAAAATTGCTTTGTCATGTACTAGCTTATTGTTTCTGAAGGTAAGCTACTTCTGAAGCACAACGGTTGATTAAAAAATAAACCTTCAAAAGAATTAACAGCATTGCTATTTGTGTGTGTGTGTGTGTGTGTGTTTCAGTGGGGGTGGGTTGCATACTATATTAAGATTAGTTTCCAACAAGAATTGATGCAAGTAGAAGAAATTGACTTCCTTACCTATTGCCTCTGACATTTACTTGCTTAAATATTTTTTTAATTGAAAAGGAATTGATAGAAAAAGGTGGATTTAAAGAACAACACTAACTTCTACCTAATCGATGACAGAGCTGTAGAAGAAAGTACCTGTGAAAATGTGAAAGTATCTGTGAAAAATGTAACCTTTCACAGCCTGAGCATAATCAATTAGAAAAACTATCTGAATTTAAATAATTGGTCCATAGGTACTATTTTATTTGGTCCATAAGGGTTATTTTTTCAACTTTTATTTCAAGTGTATTATGTCATTTCCCACATAAGCTAATGATACCTGAAGACTTTTTCCATCTTTACCTTACTCATTAAGGAGCTTTGTAGCCTAATAAAAGAGAAATCTAAGTAAATGTTAGAATATGGGTGGTTAATGGTAACTGTGTACTTAAAGAGGTGTAAAAGACAGGTAGGGAGCAGACAGGACAAAGGAGGCTATAAGGAAGAATATTTCAAAGAGGGGAGAGAAGAAGATGTGTTATCCATATAATATTTTACTTGCAGTAGAGAGCATGTTCTGTAGAAGAGACAGAAGATGAAACTAGATTGATGGGCACCTAGATCATAAAGCACCATATGTACTTAGGAGTTTGAATTATATCTTTAAAACTATGGTAGATTTCAAGCAGGGGAGTAACATTTTTAAAAGACCAGTTTATCATTAAGATGGAGGGATAATCATCAGTAAGCTATTGCCATAATCTAAGTAGAAATATAAGAGGGCATTTGCATATATGCCCTGGAATGAGTAACTGCACAAGAGATATATTTTGCAACTCATATTTTTCTGGGGCAGCAGTTAGAAGAAAATCAACCTATAAGAATACCAACATTTTTAGCTGGGCGTAGTGGCACATGCCTGTAATCCCATCTTCTTTGGAGGCTGAGGCATAAGAATTGCTTGAACCTGGGAGCTACAGGTTGCAGAGAGCAGAGGTCACACCACTGCACACTCCAGCCTGGGTGAGAGCAGCACTATAAAAAATAAAAAGAATACCCATCCTGGTCAACATAGTGAAACCCTGTCTCTATTAAAAACACAAAATTAGCTCTGGGTGTGGTGGTGCACGCCTGTAGTCCCAGCTACTCCGGAGGCTGAGGCAGGAGAATTGCCTGAACCCGGGAGGCGGAGGTTGCTACGAGCCAAGATTATGCCACTGCACTCCAGCCTGGTGTCGGAGTGAGACTCAGTCTCAAAAACAAAACAAAAAAAAACATGTTATGGTTGCCGCAGAAGAGCTGAGGCACTATGAGGAAGCAGCTTGCACTGATGAGACCAAAGCAGGGATAGAAGATTTCCTAAGCAGATCTCTAATATAATTTCTGTACTTGTAAGATTCCAGTCGATTTGCTGCCTTACTCTTGGGGGTTTTGTTTCTCTTTCGTGTAGTTAGCTGCAGCTGCTGATTCGTAATAGAAGTTAAATATCATAGGGTCTCAATTTTGTATATGGCTCAGTTTTGTTGTCGCTGAACCTTGTAGTTCTTCCTCTTTGGTGTGGCAGTATTTTGGTATTAAATTGCAACATTGAAATATTTTGCCTTCTTTTTAAAGTTCTTTTTTTGAATAAACGAAATGTGGTTTTGCCTAAATCACATCAGCAGATTGCCTTTATTCAGAAGCAGTCAGACAGCATTTGATTTCATGAAAATTGGAATGAAAGCTTACAAAGAACTTCTGGAATTGGATTATTAAAACTTCAGTGTTGGGGGCAGGGCGTGGTGGCTCACAACTGTAATTTCAGCACTTTGGGAGGCCAAGGTGGGTGGATCACTGAGCAGTTTGAGACTAACCTGGGCAACATGGAGAAACCCCGTCTCTTCTAAAAAGACAAAAAAATTAGCTGACTGTGGTGGCTCACTCCTGTAGTACCAACTACTCAGGAGGCTGAGGTGGGAGAATCACCTGATCCCAGGAGGCACAGGTTGCAGTGAGCCAAGATTGTGCCACTGCATTCCAGTCTGGGTGACAGAGCAAGACCCTGTTTGGGAAAAAAAAAAAAAAAAAAATATTTGGGATTACCCTTAAATTGTTAATTTTACTTAGAAAAAACATACCTTGTATAGTATCTGGTCAGGTAAAAGTTACTATAACCGTATTTAACAAAGACGTGTTAATCTAATAAACTCGGGTCACTTAAAATGTTTTTGGTTCCATATTTTGCAGAAAATATGAAAAGGGGCCAGGTGCAGTGGCTCATGCCTATAATCCCAGCACTTTGCTGGAGGCTGAGGTGGGCAGATCACCTGGGATCAGGAGTTTAAGTTCAGCCCACATGGTGAAACCCATCTCTACTAAAAAAAGGAGCCGGGCCCATTGGTACATGCCTGTAATCTGTGCTATCCAGGAGACTGAGGAAGGAGAATCAGTTGAAGCTGGGAGGCAGAGCTTGCGCCACTGCACGTCAGCTTGGGCAACACAGCAAGATGGGATTCTGTCCTTGTCTCCCCACCTGAAAAAAAAATACATGAAAAGGAAAGACTTGAGAGCTGGAGAAGAACTCAGATTAAATAGTAGCTCTGGTGGAGTGTGGTGGATCATGACCTCAGGAGTTAAGAGACCCGCCTAGCCAATATGGTGAAACCCCATCTCTACTAAAAATACAGAAATTAGCTGGGCAGGCTGGCACGCACCTGTAGTCCAGCTGCTCAGGAGGTTGAGGCAGGAGAGTTGCTTGAACTCAGCAGGCAGCGGTTGCAGTGAACCGAGATTGCACCGCTGCATTCTAGCCTGAGGACAGCAAGACTCTCTCAAAAATAAATAGTAGCTCTTCCATTTACTGGTTGTATATTTCTTTAAACCTGATTCTTCATTAATAAATTGACCTTTCTTCTTTGAACTCCATGTGTCCCTTGTTCATATTTCATGATACCTGTAACATTTCATTGCAGTTACTTAACATGTCTATCAGAGTGCAAGCTCATGAAGATAAAAAATTGTTCTTTGGATCTCTTACATAAAGTATATAGCAAGGAGTTAGATTAATTGAATTAATGTTTGTTTTACAGAAGGGTAGGAATTAGATGAGCTGTGTTAGTATCGGGCCTAGTTTTAATGTGCGTGACATATCCAGAATGGGCATAGTGAAAGGCTCATGTAGCTGTATATATATAACCTTTCTAATGGAGAAGAATGAGTGTTAGTAATAACCCAGTTCATGTAAATTTTAAAACATTTCTTCGGATTGATTCTTTGCATATCCTGAGGCAGTTAGGCATTCCACATTTTAACTTTAAATTCCTGTCTAGATCAGTATCTTTTGTCATTAAGTGGTCTTCAAAAGACTCTTGTTTGAATCTTGGTTCTGTCATTTACTATTTGTATACTAGACTAAGTTACTTCTTAAAGCCTCATTTATATCATGCGTAAAATAGGGGCAATGTATCTATTTTCTGGTATTGATTAAAATGAGAAACTTAAGCTTTTCCCTGTTCTCTTGAACATAGTTGTGTGTTCCTTACCTGGAATAGCTAACATTTTGGTTGGCCAGTGGGCAGAATGGCCTGTTGTAAACCCATTTGTACACATCTGGCTGTTGGAAGAAATAATCTACACATGTAAAAGTTTATTTTCAGATTATTCTGATACATGATTCTGTATGTAGGCTTTATTGCTATGTGTACTTTTTCCTTTGTGAGAATTGAGATCTAAAATACTTGTGTTTCTGGATAACTTTTTAAAAAACATTCTGGTGACTTACGTAAAATTGAATCTAAATTACGATTTATTACTCTATGGTAAGTTTTTGGTGTTTTTTTTTTTTTTCCTGTTAATATAGACTTAATTTTCATGGGATAATTTAGATTCTTTATTACAGTGTAAATAGGTAATTTTGGTTCATTACTAGAGGAACACTTAGAAACAAATGTTATGGATTATTTAGCAATAATATTTTAAATTTGGGTTAAGCATACTTTTCTTTTTACAGAATGACAGCCCATATCAAGGCGGTGTATTCTTTTTGACAATTCATTTTCCTACAGACTACCCCTTCAAACCACCTAAGGCAAGTATTTCTCCTCAAAAATCTGTTAGTATAGATTTATGCTTTATTTCAAAGGAATAGAGCATTCTTGGAAGTTACGGTTCTGCCTAGGCTAAATATATATGTTGAATTGAGGCACTGATGTACAGATGCTGACTCTAAACCTTTGGTTTAAAGAGCTAGACCTCAATTTGAACTTTGTAAATGGTAATAAAGTGTGCCTTTTCCTTAATGTTGCAAGATTCAGACCACATGGAAGCTTACCCCCATTATTACATAGATTCTGATTATAGGCTTTGTTGTCTTGTAGGCATCAAATGTCCAACTTCAGTTTATATTTGCACATATTGCTACAACTTATGCTTACAGTTTTATATACATAACTAAATTTATGAAAACGAGTTGCCTAGTGCAGTGAGTTGATTGGTTTGTAGATACTAAAAGCGTATTATCCTTTACTTTTAAGTCATTAACATAAATTCAACCTACATAAGTAACTAGAGAAGGTAGTATTCAAAGGACATAAACATGTCACTATTAACAGTCCGTAGTAATGTTACAGGTGCAATGTGATGGTTTCCATTTTTGTGATTCAGGTGTGTTTTATGTACAGTGGAATTGCAAACTCATGCATACCTGTGTAACTTGAAACTTTAAATGAGATGGTCTACAAATTTTGGTTGCATTCAAAATTAGGGCTTTTTTAAACGAATGTGTTAAATACCTTTAAATTGCTCTTTGATATTCATGATACAGTAGGACCAAAGTAACCTTGAGAACTTTCCTTCATATGAGTAATGAAATTTTTATCCAAAAGTTTAAGTTTCTGTTTTAATAAGAGGGAGCTGGGGGCAAGGGGAGTTGTGGTCAGATTGTGAAAACCAGTTTCTATATATTTGGAACTTGTTTGCTAATAGATAACATTTTTAACATTGTGGCTTGATTATTTTAAGTTTTGCTTTAAAAGATGTTTGTTTTTATTTGAATAAAATACCTAAAAGTTTTTGTTTTAGGTTGCATTTACAACAAGAATTTATCATCCAAATATTAACAGTAATGGCAGCATTTGTCTCGATATTCTAAGATCACAGTGGTCGCCTGCTTTAACAATTTCTAAAGGTAAAAATACATCCAGTGAAATAATCTTAAGCTGTTCTCATTTTCTAATAGTTTCATTCTGAGATGTACTTATCTGAGTGTTTTTATTCCAACTTTCTGGTAAGAGATGGGGAAGCAATAAAGTTACTTTTATCATTTGTGTTCTTTTAGTGGTATTGATTAAAGAGACTTTGTGAGAAGAGGTTAAAATTCAAATTGGGGTAGGTAGGCATTATTTGCCTAGTGAGTTACCTTCATCTCATAACAGCAAAATTTATCTTAATAGACTTCTGTATTTTTAATCTCAAACTGCTTGGACATGTCACACTCATTGCCTTTTTACCAAGAATGGTGTAATACACCTAAACTTAATAAAGATTTTGAATCCTGAAGTTTCCACTCTAGAAAAATTCTGATTTTGCTTTCCTGGGTTAATTTTTAGACAAATCTTTAGTCATGTGTTATGTAACCATTTTAGGTTGTTTCTACCTAATGACAGTCTAAAACTATAATCTTGGAAATATCTGTAGATCAATTCTGGTCTCCTACTGTTAATAGGCATCTGTTATGTTGTATCTAATAGGTTGTCCAGTCTCTTCATGAATATCCCAGGTGGAGTTTTTAGACCTTTTTTTCTCCCTCTTGGATGCTTTCTAATTTTTTTTCAGAACATGCTCCCATACCTAAATACCAGCTTCCAAGTTTTTCTGCCACTGCTGGTAATGTACTATAACAATGAAAACTGTTTTTGTAAGGGCAGATTGAATTGATACTGTTTTGTCATTAAAGTAACTTGCTTTTTTGGCAGCCATACTTTGCTAACTTACTAAACTAGGAGTCAACACTGAAGGTACCTTTTTTCTTTGAGTTACTATATAGCCCAGTCTCCTCCATTAGGTAATTTTTTATTTGCTCTGCTGCATTTGACTTTGAAATTAAATTTGCTATAGTCAGCAAATATTTATGTGACGATGTTGTCTTTATACTATTACTTTTTTTTTAATTCGTCAGAAACATTTCAAGCATTTACATCTTAACAGCGCCATGTCTGGTGACTGGCACATAACAGGCACTCAGATTGAATGAGATCTATGTTCCTTAATGTTTGACATCTTATAAATCAGTGTGTTGAACTAGTTAAGGGAAGAACTAGGGCTGATGACTCACTTGGTACTAAAGAGATTTTGGCATTATATTTAACCAGTACTCTTGAGAATATCGTTTCTTACAAGTTCGAGGAGATAAAACATTTAGTGGAGCACCTCAAAGTTTTTCTCAGAAAACTCCTGAGACAATGGCAAAGAATGGATTTTTCTTCATGCCCAACAACTATGAATAATATGGCATGAGTGTTGACCTGCATATTCTTGCTAAAGTTCTCTCCCCACCCCCAGAGTACCAAGAAACTCCTTAAGTTCTAATATCATTTATGCCTATTTAAAACATATATTAATATGGCATCAGTTGCCTATCTTAGAAACTTTATTTTTATAGCTAGTCAGCAGTGAATTTGATGTCACAAACTCCATTTTTAGCTCTTCTTACTTACCAGGAGCTTGTCTTTGTCTTATTGAGATTGAGTTAAAAAGTAATATAAGTCTTTTGAGGATTGAGGTTTGTAATAGCATATTAAATACATTTATTTATCTAAACTCCTGAAACTGGATAACAGATGTTTTTGTTTCCTTGCAGTTCTTTTATCCATTTGTTCACTGCTATGTGATCCAAACCCAGATGACCCCCTAGTGCCAGAGATTGCACGGATCTATAAAACAGACAGAGATAAGTATGTTAAAAAGTTATTATTAAAATGGTTTTACTTAATGAGTTAGGCTTATACTCTGCTTGTGACAATGCCAAGACGACTTGATACTTAGTAAGATAATAGTTAAAATATGCAGAAAGCTAGCTATTGAAATGTGGTTATTTAAAACTTACTAGGCTTTAGCTAATGTGACAGTGAATGCCCCCCTCCAAAATGTTTTTTTGTTTTTCCTAGTGTGTTAAACAGTTTATCACTTTATTCTGAAATTTTGGAGAAGAAAGCAAATTTTTCTTAACCCCAAGCATGTTTTTCCAAAAAGTGTTAAGTGCTATTGTAAAAATTTGGTCTAAATTTTTCAAATATTTGAATTATGTTTATGTTCAGTTTAACCATTACAACTTTCATATGTTATAATTAATGCTAAGTATACTTGTTCAATTAGGTACAATAGGTTAGCAAGAGAGTGGACAGAGAAATACGCTATGTTGTAGGGTAAGAGGATCTGCACTCTATGGTGCGCTTATTCATGGTACTGCCAGCACTTGAGTGCTGCATGCATTAAGGCACTGTATTAACTAACAAAAGGTAACAGATGTGGCAGCCTTCTGAAAAGTGTACATTTAACTGCTTGATCTCTGTTTAACGTGAAAGTAAATACCTGGTAGCCATTACTGCTTGAAAGTATTGCATGGCAAAGCAGTTATATAGCACTAGTAAGAAATGGGAATTTATGTAGTATCTTTTTCTTTCAAACTACCATGGTGTTTAAGTTTTAGCTTGAGACTTTGTATCAATACTATATGGAATGTGGTGATTTACTTCAAATTTTGCCAGGAGATAGTAATGTAAGGGAAAAACACTTTTAAGCCTAAGCATCTAAACTAAATGTTCATTACTGACAAGCATGCATTAATGTCAGCTGTACTTTGCGGCTCCCTGTATGTTAGCTAGATAAAGCCTTTGTTTTAAAGTGCTGGCTTTGTGAGAGAGTATCCGTAGGAGATAACCATGATTGGTAGGGAGAACTTGTGTATGTTACAAGTATAGGGAAGTCGTTGGACCATATTTGGCTTTTGGTTTGAAATGAAGCTAGTTAATATTTGAACTGTAAATATAAAAGTTCTCCTGTGTCCTTTAATATGTATTCATTTCTTAAGGTTATCAGTATTTTGTTGGGGTAAGTAGTCTATGGCATTAGTATAATTCAAGGGGAAACTGATAGTATTTATCAATGTTAGTAGCCTTCCTGAGTAATAACCTTGTTTGTGTGTGAATTACCTGTTGATCTTTTTCAACAAAGATGTTCTGGTTGTACTCAATAGGTCTTGATGGGGCTTATTAGCCTCAGTTGCCACACTTATTAAAAGTAACATGTCATTCTGATGAACACAACCAGTCACACACCTCTTTTGAAAATGATTGCGGTTTATCTGCCCAATGTCATCTTCCCCTTCTGCCTCTGCCTAAGTCTCAAAGGCATTTTTTCTTGTAATATCCACGACCAAGTAATTTCCCAAACTCCAGGATTCAGATAAAATTGTTTTAGTAAAAGTCTGGTTCTGGCTTTGGAAATGTCTGTGGATAGATAGAATTTGTATACTACTTTAAACATTTTTTCATGTTAAAAATTAGAGTACTCGTTCAGTGGTAGTGGAGAGAAAGGGTCTTTTGACTTTTGTTAGCCTCCCAATTTGTAGTGCTGCTTTCTTAGGTTTATTAAAATACTGCTTTCAGAGCATCAGACTCTAATTTCCCACATTGCTTTGAGTACCAATACTATTTCTCCCATGTTGGCTTTTATTCTAATCATAGTCATTAGAGATGACTTCATAATAGGTCTGGAGATGAAAATCTTTCCCTTCCATTTAAAGTATTAGGAATTCTTTCACTTTATTTTAACTTTTAAAAATAACATCTTTATTTACAGGTACAACAGAATATCTCGGGAATGGACTCAGAAGTATGCCATGTGATGCTACCTTAAAGTCAGAATAACCTGCATTATAGCTGGAATAAACTTTAAATTACTGTTCCTTTTTTGATTTTCTTATCCGGCTGCTCCCCTATCAGACCTCATCTTTTTTAATTTTATTTTTTGTTTACCTCCCTCCATTCATTCACATGCTCATCTGAGAAGACTTAAGTTCTTCCAGCTTTGGACAATAACTGCTTTTAGAAACTGTAAAGTAGTTACAAGAGAACAGTTGCCCACGACTCAGAATTTTTTAAAAAATGGAGCATGTGTATTATGTGGCCAATATCTTCACTCTAACTTGGTTATGAGACTAAAACCATTCCTCACTGCTCTAACATGCTGAAGAAATCATCCTGAGGGGGAGGGAGATGGATGCTCAGTTGTCACATCAAAGGAAACAGCATTATTCTAGCAGCATCCATTCTTGTTTAAGCCTTCCACTGTTAGAGATTTGAGGTTACATGATATACTTTATGCTCATAACTGATGTGGCTGGAGAATTGGTATTGAATTTATAGCATCAGCAGAACAGAAAATGTGATGTATTTTATGCATGTCAATAAAGGAATGACCTGTTCTTGTTCTACAGAGAATGGAAATTGGAAGTCAAACACCCTTTGTATTCCAAAATAGGGTCTCAAACATTTTGTAATTTTCATTTAAATTGTTAGGAGGCTTGGAGCTATTAGTTAATCTGTCTTCCAGTACACTGTTTAATATAGCACTGAATAAATGATGCAAGTTGTCAATGGATGAGTGATCAACTAATAGCTCTGCTAGTAATTGATTTATTTTTCTTCAATAAAGTTGCATAAACCAATGAGTTAGCTGCCTGGATTAATCAGTATGGGAAACAATCTTTTGTAAATGCAAAGCTGTTTTTTGTATATACTGTTGGGATTTGCTTCATTGTTTGACATCAAATGATGATGTAAAGTTCAAAAGAGTGAATATTTTGCCATGTTCAGTTAAAGTGCACAGTCTGTTACAGGTTGACACATTGCTTGACCTGATTTATACAGAATTAATAAGCTATTTGGATAGTGTAGCTTTAATGTGCTGCACATGATACTGGCAGCCCTAGAGTTCATAGATGGACTTTTGGGACCCAGCAGTTTTGAAATGTGTTTATGGAGTTTAAGAAATTTATTTTCCAGGTGCAGCCCCTGTCTAACTGAAATTTCTCTTCACCTTGTACACTTGACAGCTGAAAAAAAAAACATAATATGGGAGTAATAATGGGTCAAAATTTACAAAATAAAGTACTGTTTCGGTGTGGGAGTTGTCATGAGGCTGTGTTGAAGTGACTTATCTATGTGGGATATTGAGTATCCATTGAAATGGATTTGTTCAGCCATTTACATTAATGAGCATTTAAATGCAACAGATATCATTTCAGGTGACTTAACATGAATGAATAAAAGTCAATGCTATTGGATTGTTTTTTGTTTGACAAGTGCTATCTGTACTACTAATTTAACTTCTGTAGTAACAAGGGCATTACCATTCTTCACCTTTCCTAATCTGACCCCATGGTTTTACATTTTTCCTGGTTATTTTGATTTGTCCACTGCTTTATTTCTTGAAGTTCTAGCACATCTGTGACTCCTCCACTTCCACATTTTTGCACTGCTTACACTTATGTGCAATCTTACTCCTTGTCTGCCCACAGATGTGGAAAGCTAGAAATAAATGTTAAAACTTAATTTTTATAAACATTTTAATATGTAGTTTGGACATGATTTATTGACTTAAGGTTCTTCTCTAAACTGGAAGTGAAATGCATGCCTTCTGAAGATGTTCTGGCTTTGTTTATTCTGTAATCATTTCATTGGGAAAAAAACAGTTACGCAGTTTTTCCAATGAGTGAATTTTTTCATTTTGTCTTTTGCTTAAAATGGCTCCTTCAAGGTAGATGTCATAACTGCTTAACTTTTTTGGATTCAAATTATGAATGAGAAATTAGTTAATTCTGCTCCACAAGGTAAGAAAAACTGCTCTTTGGCTCTATTTTCAAAATTCTGAGATGCATATACTCTCAAAATAACAGCTATAGTAGGCATATCACTTCTTGAAAGCCAAACATGAAGAAAACACTTCTGTGAAACACAGTGGATCCCTCATTGGCTTTCGGATTGACCTTTTTAGCCTTAGACCACCCTTAGATATTTACAGAGATGACTTCTTTGATTGTCATAACAATTCGTGGATGTGTCCAGTTCTCTGTATCTTTGACTTGATGCTTTATACATCATTTCATTTGTTGCTTCTAAGGGAATAAGCCATAAAGGCTTCTCCAGGTTTAAAAGAACAGTAAAGTACCTGGAAAACCAACATTTTTGAATGTATGGACACTGGACATCAGATTATGTACAATGAAATCTTCAAAAGAATCTAACAATTTGCCCTGTTTCCGCCACCCCATCCGGCAATTTGACATTACTAGTGCCATGTGTAGGACTCAACTGAGTATTAGAATCAGATTTGGCTATGTCTGTATTTCCTAAATCTTTTAATGCATAAACCTCTAAGAATTAGGGTCCAGTTGGCCTGTTAATGGTACATTTACATTTTAAGTGACTCAATAACGTGTTTTTCCTGGGCGAGTTTGCAATGTGATAATCAGATTTTTAAAAACTGATTAGTTTGCTTTCTTGTGTGGGTGTACTCACATTTTAAAGTATGAACCACAGTTAACTAGTGGTCTCAGGGGTAGTGAAACACTCACTTTTTTTTTTTTAATGGCTTAGTTGACGTATACTTAAGGTACTGATCATGCTGTGTTAGTGATTTGGGCGGGGAGGGGGGGTAACTCAAATTAGCCATGTTTTGTGTTGGCATAACAAAACTGTTAATGATTGTTGATTACACTTTTAAGTGAATTTGTCTTTTATGAGGAACCCAGTGCAAGTCACTAAATATTGTCTAATAGTGACATCTGCATAAGACTTGTAATAGCTAAAGTTAATTGAGCTTAAAGGAATTGTTACCATTAAAGTCTGTGCTGAAAGACACTTTGGTCTTACTCAGTAATTCCAGCTAATATGAAATCCATACTTGAGCTTAATGTTGTGTGTGAGCTCGATTTTGAATTTTATACAGTTTATGAAGAATTAAGGTGGTCGTTCTCGAAATGTAACTCTTGAGATAACAATCTCAGCATCATTTGGGAAATTCATTGTAATATAAATTGTCAGGCCCCATCCAGGTCCTGAATCAAACTGGCTTGGAGCCCAGTCACCTCCAGGTGAATTTGATGAATGGTGAAGATTGAGGACCATTTTCAGAAGTCTGTCCTAGCACTCCCTTGTAACAGACTACAACCAGTAATCCTTTAACCCTGTAGCTATTTTTATACCTGTTTCAGGCAATAGAGAATCGCTTTTGGCTAAATACTACATTTCTGATACCTGACAGTTTCCAAATACTTTGAATTGTAATACAGTATGATTTTCACATTTATACTTGGAATATTAAAACACATTAATGTCCTACAGTTGGCTAATTTGAATAACCATACCGGCATAGAATTCAACCAGTCAAGTATTTAAAAGCAATCAACCTAAGTATGGAACAAATTTAAACCCAGATCCCATTCTGTGGCCTGACACTAGGCAATTTTTTCCCACAAGTGGAAATGATGCCATGTTAAGGATGTTTGTAGTGTTTGACAGATATTAAATGTACCCTAAGGTGGCTATTAAAACTTCTGCTGTCCCAGTGTAATGGAAAAATAAATGGTTAAAGGTATTTGGAAATGGCTCCAAAATATTATAGTGCCCCGCCCCCCAAAAATGGAGGGGCCATCTTAAAGTTTTCTAGAAATAGATTGAAGTTAGTAAGTCCCTAGAAATTATTACTACATTGCGTTATTTCTTCCTACCTTCTAACTACTTGCTCGTTTCTGGCCTTGGTTCTGAAAAATTTTAATGTTTCAGGTATACAAGATGTTTCTGGCAATTCTTTTACTTGGGATGCTTCCGTTAAAGTCTCACTATCAGTTATCTATCTCTTCCCAAACTGCTTATGAATGAAATTTTAAGAACCCTCTTTTCTGTATTATAAAAAATGTTTACAACATTTTCATTTTTATGTACTACTGACTAATCACATTTGAATAGTGTCAAGGCTGAACAATGAACCTTCATGTCATACTGGCTTAGGAGCCCAGTTAACTACCATCATTTACTAACCTCCTAGCTATTCTGAGCTCCCATATAGCTTTTATTCATCCACATAACAATCTAAAGGGCATATTTTAAGATGTCTAAAACTGGCCCTATGTCTACACAGACACACACATACACATATACTCTTAGCCCAGGCTTAGTAAATGTCAACATTGAATTGCACTGGCCTGAAACTTGGGCACTGACTTTGATTTCTCACATTCCACCTTCAATCAGATTTAACAGCAGCCTTTAAAATCTGCCCGTTACCATATTCACTACTAACCACCATTATCTAAAGCTGTATCATTTCTTACTTGGATTATTGCAGTATCCTTCCTGAGTGATCACCCACATTGCACCAATCTGTCTGCCCCACATGCTCAACCCCTTTAAACCATAACAGATCATGTCATGGTTGATGGCTTTCTTCCAAACCGAATGGTTTTCCATCTCATTCGGAGTAAAAAGACAAAGTATTAATCTACAAGGCTGTAGAACTTTCTTCACCACCTTTACCTCAGCTTCATCCCTGATTGCCTCCCCACTATTCCAACTCCCTCAGCTCAGTCACACAGGATTGCTGAGAGTTGTATACAGTGGACTCTTCACTTGTTTACCCTTTCTCTTACCTTTAGGATGATGTTACCCCACATACCATACAGCTTCCTTTTCCATAAGTAGGTCTCTTTAAATACCTTATCAGAATAGTTTTTCTTGACTATATAATATGCCAACGTGGCACCACCGCTGTGGAGTACAGCATGGCATATTCAGTATTATTTGTCTTACAGGTAGTGATTGTTTCGCCCTAAGTGCCCCCCCCCCGGTTCTATCAGGACAGATTTTCTTATTTATCAATGATTCAATGACTACTCAGCACATTTTATGACAGTTAATACAAAAATGACTGAGCCAAATGGTAGTCTGTCAAAAGTGCTTTTGCTTGCTTCATCTCTTAACTCCAAAAGCACAAAAATAACATGCAATTAAAAAGTTGTTAATCAGACCTTATTTACTCTCAAACTACTGTAACTAAAGTAATGCAGTTCAGATTCTGTCAGTCTGGATGATTACCCTGATGAGTCCTGTGAAAAAGCAACTGCTTGCTGGGGTAAGAACTTTTTTTTTTTTTTTCAGTGTGTCAATATTCTATCAAAGGAAAGAGTGCTCTCAGACTGAAACCAGGAACCCAAAGAGGAAAATAGAACAAACCCAGAACCAGCTTGCATATTGAAAACATTTGAAGTACCCCAAGTGAACTTGATTGACCTTTCATTTCTTTTTTCTTTTTTTCTTAGAGATGTGGTCTTGCTCTCTCACCCAGGCTGGAGTGCAGTGGTACAGCCCTCAACCTCCTGGACTCAAGCAATCCTCCCACCTCAGCCTCCTGAGTAGTTGGGCCTACTCACCACGTTGCCCAGGCTGGTCTTGAACTTCTGGGCTCAAGCAGTCCATTTGCCACAGCCTCCCAAAGTGCTTGGCTTACAGGCACAAACCTTACGCCCAGCTGATCTTCAATTTCCATGGCTCTGGCAAAGCCCAGGATGCATCCAAAAGTGGTGTCAAATAGGAGAAACCCATTCCTAGTACAACTAGGACTCTGCCTATCTTGAAACTTGGTGCTCTCTGGCAGGAGAATATCCTGAGTATTTGTAATAATAGTTTGGGCTTTGTGAAGATTTGCTGCCTTATGTGTTCCCAGAAAATGCAAACAGGATTTAATTTTTAGAGTGATTCCAAATTAGAACAGTCAGCTACTGGTAAAAGCAAACACTAGGAATTCTGTAATAGCTCACATTTAAATATCAGCAAGACAAAGTCCAAGGGAACATAGATCTTCATGAGTTGCCAAGCAATTTGCAAGAATCAAAAAAAATTTTTTTTGATATTGATAAATTAGTCAAACCAATCAGTAAGACTATATTAATAAGTGACATTGTCTTGTATATGGAAAATCCTGAAGAATTAATAGAAACCACTTAGAGCTAATAAAAGAATTCGACCAATTTGTAGGATACAAGATTCACACAGAAATCAGTTGTATTTCTTTAAATGATTACCAATTGTAAGTAATCCGTAAATAAGGTTAAGAAAATTCCTTGTACCATAGCATCAAAAGAAAAAAAAAACAGAACAGGGGTCCAGTGCAGAGGCTTACACCTATAATCCCAGCACTTTGGGAAGCCGAGGCTGGCAGATCACTTGAGGTCAGCAGTTTGAGACCAGCCTGGCCAACTTCGTGAAACCCCGTTACCACTTAAAAAATAATGG